TAGAAGACCTAGGGGCCGGTTCTTTTGACTTGATTGTGAAGAATCATTGTCTTGGATATTTTGAGCAAAGTGTTGAAGTGGGAATTCAGTGTCCTCACATCGATTGATAACTTTATTTCGACATTATTCTTTTATTTCAATGTTAGTTGAGAAGGAAGGAATTTTACAGTATCTGTCCTTATAAAGTCCGTGGTATATGATTCTTATTTTGGATTTACTAGTAGGGCCTTTTGAACTGCTTATTTGTCTCATATTTTCAGCCTTGAGTTTCAAACTTTGGTAAATTTAATTCATATGACCTCTTCCTACGTTGTTTTTTAGGTGTCAAGATGGGTGGGAGCAGCAATGGTACCTTATATTGAATATCAAATGGTTATATGTTTAGTCATTGCATACGTCGTAGGTTCTCCACAAAGTATGCAGAGCATAGTATGTATGCCACATGCTAGGATAGATTTGTTGTACTTAGGATAGTTTTGTTGCATTCTTTTTCCTGTCAATAAATAGCAAGTGCGTGAAAATTATTTATTTTCTCCAATTTATTATGTTGCATCTTTTGTTATGTATGAAATAAATTTTGCTATGTGACACTAGACTGACATTGTTCCTTAGATATACTAACTTATTGGTATATCGTGGATTGTGTTTTCATTCATTGGTCTATTAAGTGGCAAGATGGCATTATTAACAAATATAATGAGAAAATAATTCATGTGCAATGGCAAGAATAAAACGGCACGACAAAGCGCGTTTTCCCATATAATACATATGTAAGTGCCATGTCTTTTTTGAGGAAGTTTGTCCATTTTACTAAGTGGAAATATCTATGATGCCCTCTACTTTTTGTCTTCCCAGGTGTTTGTTTCTTCAAACCTATAATTTTTAATTTCTAGTCTTTAAGTGGATTCAAAATCCACACTGACTTTCAAGACAACCATACTGTCAAAAGGGGCACATGCAAAATATCAATTAATGAACTTATTTCAATATCTTAAGTCAAACCCCCAATACTTCCACTAAAAAACTTGTATATCTGTTTTTCAACCTTCTCTATACCTTCCAACATTTTTGTCCAGTACTACTACTACATGTAGAATAATGTCAAGGGGAAATGTGTTTCTACATGTTCCCATACTGCTTCATCTTACCCCTCCGTACGGAAATACTTGTCGGAGAAATGGATAAACTGTCGGAGAAACGAGTGAATAGCATAAACTACCACTTTTCGCGTTATGGCACCACAAAACTATCAGATTTTTGTTTGTCGCTAATAATTACCAAAATCGGCGTCGGCTGTTTCAAAAAACCTAAATGAGTGGGTGTTTTACAATTGATCGCGATTATGACAGGTTGGGCCCACGCGTAACTGCCGTGGCATAAAAGCAATCAGGTCCATGCCCAGAAATAAAAAAGCAATCGGGCCCCTATATTTTTTTAAAGAAAGCAATCGGGTCCATGTCGTCCTGCAGCTCACGCCCTCACGCAGCGACCTCGCCAGACTCTCTGCGTTCGGGCCGCCATGGCCAGGAACTCGGGCTGCCGCGTTCCTCGGGGTGGCGTGGTCCTGCGAGAAGCCCTGCCGCGCCCGCAGACGCCGTGCAGCAGCTCCACAGGCTCGGCTCCCATGCCCATCGCCGGCAATCTCCTCGCCAGCAATCGCCGTGGAGCAGAGGGCAGCAGGAACAGTGGAGGCGGGGCTCCACGTGCGCGGAAGGAGGCAGCCGGACGTGGCATAAGGCGTGGCGTGCGCCAGCAATGTGGGCGGCGGCCATGGCCATGTGACAGTGCTCTGTAGAGAGGAGGAGAAGGGAGACAGAGAGGAGGGGGAGATAGAGATGAGACACTGACACGTGAGGCCCGCATATCATTAAACAGTCAAACAAACGGTTTGTTTATGTATGGGCCTGACCTGTCATAAACCGGTTTAATTTCTAAGCAACAGACAATTTGTGTTTTTCGAAACAGCCGACAATGATTCTGGTAATTATCAGCGACAAACAAAAATCTGATAGTTTTTTGAAACCATAACACAAAAAGTGATAGTTTTATACTATTCATTTCGGAGAAATGGATGTCCATTTCTCCACAATATTTCCGGACGGAGGGAGTATTCGGCAAAATGACCCATATGAGTGGGTCTCAAGGGGCCTATGTTGGATCTATCGACTTCCAAAATCTTGCTAGCCTTTGTTTCCCTGAAACAAGCAACATGACTACAATAAACGGAGGTGTCTGTGACGGATGAGACATGAGATCAAACAGTGGGAATGTGGCAACCGGCCAAGACTACTACTAATAGGCATCCACCCGACAAGGAGAGAGACATCTTAAGCTTCGCCAAGATCTTTGAAAATCCTAACTTCAGCTGATTAGCACAATCAGTAGATTCATCTAGACACCCTGTTAGATCATCCATCCCTAACTCGACAAGTTTACTTCCAACTCCCAAGCACATTTTGTACAAACCTAAGGTTCCATTTTTTACTCAGTATTCTCCCCATCACCCTTTTGTCGAGCCTCCCATCTTCCATCGATTTTTTCTGGGTTTTCATTCCATTCTGGTTACCATGAAACCAATCTTTTCTAACCCCAAAACCAAATTAATCTATGGTATCTCTACTTCCAATGTCTTAGTTGGTAGAATAATCTCCGTGATTTTTTATGATAAACCTGGTACCGGTCATACATATTTGGTAAGCCAATAAACATCAATAAATTCAGGGCCAGTAGCTATTACTCCATCCGTTCTCAAATATAAGTCTTTCAATAAATTCCAACAAGTGACTACATTTTTTTTGAAAAGGGGGAGCACCCCCGCCTCTGCATTAGAATGATGCATACGGTCAATTTAATTAATAAGCAAATAAGTTCAACAGAGGTCTTAAAGTCTCCAACAAAGGGACAAAAAAATGCTCACAAAGAGTAGGAAAAAAAGTAGACATAAAGCCACAACCGACTGGCAAAAGAAAGATAGGAAAACTAATTGCCTATCCTATTACATGAGCGCCATACAAACCGATTGAAAATAGCCCGTGCTACCATCTCCCATCGGATAGATCCAGCAATCAAGCGCTCCCTGGCCTCCGTCGGAGTGAGTAGCGACCACATACGGATCAACGCAGTGGCTCGGAAGATAACCTGCGAAAAATGAATATTTGTTGTTCTGTTAAAGACCAAATCATTTCTGCAGTTCCAGACTAAGGACATACTCCTACGTGAATGTGTCTCGCTGTTTCGGAATCTATCCCGTTAAGTCACGTCCCAAATAACGTACTGGCAGAATTCGGAGGAGTAATGTTAAAGGCTATGTGTACCGACCGCCATAAATTTTTTGCCAACGGGCAGTCAAGAAAGAGGTGTTTGATGGATTCATCCCGATCAAAAAAACTACATCTTATAGGTTCTCTCCAGTTGCGTTTTGCCAGGTTGTCCTTAGTTAAAATGACTTGTTTATGTACAAACCACATAAACACTTTAACTTTCAAAGGCACTTTGACTTTCCAAACATGTTTGGAACTAGGAATGGAGTTAGAATTGATAACATCCATGTACATGGATTTAACCTTAAACTCTCCAGTCCTAGTAAGCTTTCAGCACAACTGATCGAGCCGTTGAGAAAGCTGAACCTCCATCAGTCCACTCACAAGATGGAGCCAGGCTTCCCAACGGGTTCCGACTAGCGTTCTCCTGAATTGAATATTGAGAAGGATGGACTGAAGTATTGTCGCAACGCAAGCGTCTCTTCGTTGAACAATACTATAAAAGGATGGATATTGAAGCATGAGGGGCGTTTTCCCTAGCCATGTATCCTCCCAGAATCTCGTGGTGGTACCGTTTTCGACTATAAACTTTGTCCTATTGAAAAAACTGATTTAACTCTCATCAGTCCTTTCTAGAAAGGCGATTCCGTCGGCCTCACTGTCACCTGGGACAAAGTTTTGGAATGAAGATACTTACTACGCAGAATCTGCGTCCATGTGGCCTCCATCTCTACAAATAACTTATACAGCCACTTACTGTGAAGACATCTGTTCTTGACTTCAAGATTTTCAATGCCTTGACCCCCTTGATCTTTCGGTCTACAAATAATATCCCATTTGGCGAGCCTGTATTTTCGCTTTAGTTCATCACTCTGCCCGAAGAATCGGGATCGATAGAAGTCCAGCCTTTTCCTAACTCTAACTGGAATCTCGAAAAAGGACAAGAGAAACATTGGCATACTCGTGAGAACCAAATTAATAAGCAAGTGACTACATACGGAGCAAAATGAGTGAATCTACACTCTAAAATATGTCTACATACATTTGTATGTTGTAGTCCATTTGAAATGTCTAAAAAGACTTATATTTAGAAACGGAGAGGGTACATACCAATTAATCTCTTATAGTATTTGGTAACCCAATAGAGCGGATTAATCATTGACACATACCTATTTTATTATTAGTTCAAGAAAAAGTTGCAAAATTTGTACTTCGTCGTAACCAAAGCATAATCTTATCTTGTCTATTTGCTTTGCATCAAGATTTATCTTGTACTCCCCCCGGTCCTTTTTACTCTGCATATTAGAATTCTCTGAAGTCAAACTTCACAAAGTTTGACCGTATTTATATGAAAAAATATCAACATCTGCCATGCTAAAGTTATACAATATGAAACTTTAAGTCATGACATATCTATTGATATTGATTTCAGATTGTGGATGTTTGTATTTTTTTCTATAAAGTTGGTCAAACTTTACAAGACTTGACTTGAGTCAAATCTTATATGCGAACTAAAAAGGACCTGAGGGAATATGATCCTTTTATTGTGTTAAAAAATATTTGGCCCCTGTGGCACTATGTGCAAAATGTGTTCCCGTTACTACACACATGTGGTAATTTATATACAAGAACTTAGATTATGCGTACAATTAATTATTCCCCGAGCAACAAGGACTCAAGGATCTTCCTTTGTGTGATTTAGGTGTTTCACGAAATTTGTAGACCACGAAACAGGCATGATCAGGAGGCGCTGGCGATGGAGATGGTAGCGTTCAAATAAGCAATGCACTCGGTTGGCAGGTTGAGGAAGGTGTTCATGAATACATCATCGATGGGGTCGAGGACGGCCACCCCGACCAGCTTGCATCTCCCTCCGCCGTCCAATCTTTCGCCAGTTCCGCGTCTTATGGCTCCACTGGACTCCTCAGACGTCAGTGTTGTGTCGACGAACAACGGCGGAGCTTGGTAGATGCTCCCAACCGAGAAACAGAACCTCGACCTGAACTTCAGGTCGACCTGAAACGTGCATACGCATGCAGAGGTCATGATCATTTTCTGTGACCATTTAAATGCCAAGCAAGAACTTGGTCCAAATACTCTGATCACACGTATAAACTACTAAAAATCTCTTGGTCGTCGCTCCCGAAAAAGTAATCTCTTATCTGGGCTGATAAGTGGTAACAACACATGGGCGCAGGACGGCAGGGTGCAGAGAGGAGGCAGTGCAAAGCTTACCTGACCAGTCGTCCGATCAATGCTCCCGCGCAGAGCCTCGGGCAAGATGTCGATCTTGAGGAATGGCGGCAGCGGCAGCCCTAGGAACCTAGTGGTGGCGCCAGACATTGCCGGGATGTACAGGCTCGACACGTCGAAATCGACGAGCACCGTGCCATCCGCCTCCGCCGTGCCGCTCGCGCCACGCCCGGCTCCCACGCCGCGGCCGCCATGGGCGTTGTAAGCGAAGTCCGGGTACCGGGAGATGCCCAGCCGGCAGCCGTCGCGCGTCAGGAACTCGACGCTGAACGTGTCGGCATCGGGCCGAGCCCGCGGCGACGCGACGGCAGGGGCAGGTTGCTGCTCGCCTTGGCCGGTGGATGCTGCCGAGACCGCGTGCTTGTCGCTGCGTCGCGGATGTAAAGGTCTCGGCCGTGAGCCGGAGGCGCATGGTTTCCTGGGATTGGCGAGTTTTTGCAGGGCTGGGCCTCGGAGGCTCCACGCGGAGGTGTTGATACCGCCCAGCTTTGCCATTTGGAGTCTGCGCAGCTGAAGCGATGAAGAAGAGGGACCCGGTGCGGCTTGCAGTTGTGGCTGTGCGATGGACCTCGGAAACCTTATCTCTTAGGCTCTATTTGGATGCAGAGTATATGTAGAGGGCACCGCTAGGCGCCGGCGCACCGGCCGAATGTTTCAGCCGGTCTGCTCCCACCCGCCCGATCTGCTGTGCAACACCGTCGGATCCGAGCTCTGCTTTTTTTTACCTTGTCCTTGTCTCCCTGAACGCTCGCCGTGCCGATCGCCCGTCGGGGCCGCCCCATGCTCTAGCACTCAGCTCGCCCCGGCCGCTCCGGCACTCAGCTCGCCCCGGCCGCTCGCCGCCCCGGCCGCCGGTTGGAGCTGACCGCTCGCCGCCTCGGCCGCCCGTCGGAGCGCCATGGATGCAGCTCCGCGACTCAGCTCGTCCAGTCCGCTCGCCGCCCCGGCCGCCCGTCGGAGCCGCCCCGCGCTCCGGGACTCAGCTCGCCCCGACCGCTCGCTGCCCCCGCTGCTCATCGGAGTGCCATGGATATAGCTCCGCCTCACCGATGATTGGTTCCAGCAAAAAACAGAGATGCCCCATGGTAGCATTTTCCCGTGTCAGTCGTAGCAAATGAAGACAACGGTTGTAGCAAAAAAATCCATCGGCGTCACTATTGTAGCAAAAATGTTAATCGGATGTAGCAAAACACAACGCCAATGGTAGCAAAAAACGAGGATATTGCAACAAAAATGTTGTCCTCGTCATCGCCGGTCACACCTCAGTCGTAAAAAAGCACCATGGCCGCATGAATGGATGTAGGAAAAACACAGACAGTAGTAGCAACAACTTGACACGGTTGTAGCTTTTATCTCAATGGTTGAAGCCTTTCCCCTCTATGGTGGAAGCATTTCTGTAAACGATTGAAACTTTTTTCTTTTTGAGCAACGTCTAGGTGAAAGCTTTCCTCTATCGTCCGGTTGAAGCTTTTTTCATCAAAGGTTGTAGCGTTTTATATAGACGATTGTAGCTTTCCTCGATAGCACTGATCGCTTACAACTTTCTGTATATACGGTTGAAGCATTTTTAATCTTGGGTTGGAGCTTTCCTGTCAACGGTTGCAGCATTCACCAGCCTCCCCAGCTATCGCGCATCTCTGATTGAAGCAAAAAATACCATCGGTTCCAGCAAAAGATCTCTATGGTAGTAGCAAAACCAAAACACAGTTGTAGCAAAAAAAATGGTCATCCGTCGTCTCGTCGTGACGTCGAGGTTCCAACAAATTTGCGCCGTGCAGTCCTGCCATGGCTGGTTGCAGCTCCGGCGTGGCCGGGTCCGGCGAGGTAGGGAGAGCTCCGATGCACGCGGATCCGCGCGGATCTGCTCGAGGGCGGCCAGATCTGCTGAACGGCGGCGCGCCTGGGAGGCCTGCGGCGCGGGGCGATGCGTTGACCATGGCAGCGGGGAGAGAAAAAGAGAGGGATGCGCGCGTGGACTGGACCGGCCGAAGCTTCAGCCAGTGCCCCGGTCCCAAACGTTTCCCATATGTAAAACTGTAGTATTTGAAATCCACAGTTTTTAAACCTCTGGCTGTAATAACATCACAATTTGTGAGAACCATTGTATTTTACAGTATTTGCAAAACCATGAGACGTTTGGCACATGCATTATTTACCGGAGTATTTCGGTTAGACATACTATTTGTTCTTTGGAGAAAGAACGTAAAACCTTCATAGAAGTATGTAAATATATTTTAGTCCCTCCGTTCCTTTGTATAATATGTATTATTATTATTATTATTAAAAAGGAGGCACATTGCCCGGCTTTGGCGAACCGATTCCCTTACGAATACATACCGAAGTTCGAAGGAGTTCAACCGCAAAAGGAAAAAAGGAGAATGAAATAAGTTCGATACAGACCCCTCAGGCCAAGGCATAAGGAAAATCAGCAAGATGAAGTATCCTAGTGAAGACGACGAAGTGTAACGGTACAATATCAGACGACAGATGCCCTTCAGCCTCCCTGCTGATCATCATGAGTCATGTGCCGCCGCAGCTCGAAGCCGAGCGCTCTGAACTTCTCAAGTAGCATCGCAATGGTGGATGCGTCCTCCAATTTGCTCGGTGGTTTCCAAAGATGTAGAAAAATGATCATTTTATAGACAATATCATCAGGATGTTTAATGAATTTTCCTTCAGTTGCAACTTTATTCCTAACATGTCGCAAGGCCCAAGCTATTGCCGCAAAAACAAGCCATGTAACCCTACGAGTACGCCCAGAAAGACGTGCAGCTAATGTATGGAAAGCTCCAAACGAAGTGGGCGCCCAACTGCACTTTGTGATATCCCGAATGGAGCCCCATAGGAGTTGTGTAAGGCTGCACTTGAAAAAGATGTGGTTGGTATTTTCGATCACATCGCACAAAGGACACCGCCCATCCCTGGGCCATGTCGTTTTTGTACTTGAACATCGGTAGGCAGCCTATCACGTACCAGCTGCCATAGGAAAATTTTGACTTTAATAGGGATGTGAGCCCTCCAAATATCCATTGCTTGAAATGGTGCAGCTCCGTTGTGTAAGGCACGGTACAAGGACTCCGTCGTGAACTGTCCCGAAGGTTCTAACTTCCACCGGAATGAGTCCGGTTCCGAGGTCAGTGCAACAGTTTGTAACAAGGCCACAACCGACCCCATTCATCCCTCTCAAGTAAACTGATGGAGCGGCAAAACTAGGGGCTCCATTGACCATCCCTCCAAATCTCGCTGACTAGTGCATTCGGAGTTGTTGCGATAGCGAACAACTGGGGAAAAGTGGTAGCAAGCGGCTCTGGCCCCATCCACACGTCTAACCAAAAGATGGTGGATTGTCCATTACCAATATAGTGAAATGCCCCCAGACGCAACAGGTGTCTAATCTTTACAATCGCTTTCCAAAACGATGAGCCGTTTCTTCGTGATGCTATGGATACCGGGGCATGATGTAAATATTTGTGTTTGATGATGTCTAACCATAGGCCACCTTGGTCGGTCAGCATTTTCCATGCTCACTTTGCCATCAGACACCAATTCATGTGCTTGCTATTTAAGATGTTGAGGCCGCCAACCTCTTTTGGCGCAAAGATAGTACTCCAGTGTACCATATGATATTTTTGTTTCCCGAGTTCTTTACCCCAAAAGAACCGGGATCGTAGATTATCAAATTTTTCGTGGATGCCATCTTGGAGCAGAAAAATCCCATGATGAGCATAGGCAAACTAAAGAGGCAAGAGTTGATCAACGTGGTTTTTCCCCCTATTGATTGGTATTTACCGATCCAAGGCTCCACCCTCCTAGCCACTCGATCAGTAAGGAAGAGGAGTCCTCGGTGGTGAGATGCTTGTTGGTTAGCGGCATGCCCAGATATTTGATGGGCAAGGTGCCGAGTCTACAGTTCATAATGTGAGCCGTTCTGAGTAGATGCTCCAAATTACCTTTAGTAACAAAAGCCTCACTCTTGTCATAATTGATCTTCAGACCAGACATGGACTCAAAGCACATGAGCAGAAATCGAAGGTTCATGAGGCTAATTGGGTCATTCTTGATTATGATCAACGTGTCATCAGCGTACTGTAGGTGAGTGATTCCCCCTTCCATAAGGTTAGGAAAAATTCCTTGGATATGGCCAGCCTTCCTAGCTCCCTCTAGGATGACTGCCAGAGCCTCAACCACAATGTTGAAGAGCAGAGGGGAGATGGGGTCCCCTTGCCTGACCCCTCGGGTATTACGGAAATATGGCCCCGGCTCTCCATTGATGTTGATGGCCGTTTGCCCTCCTCGCACCATTGATACGTCTCCAATGTATCTATAATTTTTTTTATTGTTCCATGCTATTATATTATCTATCTTGAATGTGTTATATGCATTTATATGCTATTTTATATGATTTTTGGGACTAACCTATTAACCTAGAGCCCAGTGCCAGTTTCTGTTTTCCCTTGTTTTTGAGTCGCAGAAAAGGAATACCAAACGGAGTCTAATTGACCTGAAAATTTATGGAGAATATTTTTGGAAAATGTAAAGAATACTAAAACGAAAAGATATCGAAGAAGAGTCCCGAGGCCACCACTAGGGTGGAGGGCGCGCCCCCCATCCTTGTCGTCGCCTCGTGGGCCTCCTGGCTTGTCCCCGATGCCAACACCTCCTATAAATCCCAAAACCTCCAGAAATAAACCTAGATCGGGAGTTCCGCCTCCGCAAGCCTCTGTAGCCACGAAAAGCCAATTGGGAGCCCGTTCCGACACCCTGACGGAGCGGGGGAACCATCACCGGTGGCCATCTTCATCATCCCGGCACTCTCCATGACGAGGAGGGAGTAGTTCACCCTTGTGGTTGAGGGTATGTACCAGTAGTTATGTGTTTGATCTCTCTCTCTCTTGTGTTCTTAATTTGGCACGATCTTGATGTACCGCGAGCTTTGCTACTATAGTTGAATCATATGGTGTTTTCTCCCCTCTACCTTATTGCAATGGTTTGAGGTTTTCCCTTTGAAGTTATCTTATCGGATTGAGTCTTTAAGGATTTGAGAACACTTGATGTATGTCTTGCATGTGCTTATCTGTGGTGACAATGGGATATTCACGTGATCTACTTGATGTATGTTTTGGTGATCAACTTGTGGGTTCTGTGACCTTGTTAACTTATGCAAAGGAGTTGGCACACCTTTTCATCTTGACTCTCCGGTACTCTTTGAAGTTCTTTGTGTTGGTTTGAATAGATGAATCTGAGATTGTGTGATGCATATCATATAATCAAACCCGCGGATACTTGTGGTGACATTGGACTATCTAGGTGACATTAGGGTTTTGGTTGATGTGTGTATTAAGGTGTTATTTTAGTACGAACTCTAGGGTTGTTTGTGACACTCATAGGAATAGCCCAATAGATCGATCAGAAAGAATAACTTTGATGTGGTTTCGTACCCAACAATAATCTCTTCGTTTATTCTCTGCTATTAGTGACTTTGGAGTGACTCTTTG